ACGGAAGACTGGGTGGGGGGACGCATGATGATGATTGTGGGCAAGGATGCTTTGTCCCCTCGCCGCACTGCTGCTCAAGCTGATGTCAGGGGCGCATGCCTTCGAAGAAACACAATGCGCTTGCTCATGTGTGCACTAAAACACAAAGACGCGTGTACACATACGTACAAAAACAGAGGCAACCGTTCGCGCGCGCGCACACACACACACGCACACACACACACGCACATACACACACACACACACACACACACACACACACACACACTTCCACAAGTGCACACACGTATACACATGTGTGTCGCGCGCGCAACCGCAACAACTCAGGCCTGCGGGGCCTCACCCGCTTCTTCGCTGTAAACGCCAGCCAGCCAGGCCGCCCTGGTAGGGTGGGGTGGAGCACGGCATGATTGCCTTCAGCATCAGGAGATCGCATGAGGAGGAGCCCCGACGCCGCAGCCGCTGCCCGCGTTGTGCACAAGTACAGTGCGTGCCCCGCGCCTCGCACCCCTCGTCCCGGTGGCAAACCCAGGTCCCGCGTCCCGCGCCCCGCGCCCACCCCAGCGCCGCGCGGGCGCTCACGCCTGGGTGGCGCTGCCGCGTCCGGCCCCCTGGGCGCGGGCCGAGTTCTCCCAAAGGGTGTCCATGCCGGGTCCCTCGGGGCTGGTGTAAAAGTCGGGCCTGTGGGAGAAAGGGGGGGGGGTGGGACAGCAGGGTGGCGGCGCCACGCGGGCAGCTGCAGCAGACTGGTTGCGCATTGGGCATGCCACCAAGAGCAGCGAGAGCCGTCTGCGGTGGGGTCGCGTCCAAGACGACTACGTGCGCACGCCTAGGCAGATCAGGCATGCACTCTGGCGCCAGTTCGAGGCTGCTTGTGTTGCTGGGGCGACACAAGCAGAGGCTTGGTCAAGGGTCAACTCACTGCACCCCTGCATTAGACAGGCACGCAGGCAGGCAGGCAGGCAGGCAGGCAGGCAGGCAGGCAGGCAGGCAGGCAGGCAGGCAGGCAGGCAGGCAGGCACGTGCTGCGGCAGCCCCGCACCTGGCCAGCTGCTTGTCCCCGCCGTTTGGCTCCTGCGGCTGCTGCGGCCCCGCCTCGAGCTGAGTCAGCAGCGCCGAGTACGACCCGTCCCCGCGCGCCGCCCGCTCCTTCTCCCGCAACTCTGCTTCCCACGCCGCGCGCCGCTCCTCCACGCTCGCCGCCGACTCCCCTGCCGACGGCCCCGCCTGCTGCTGCTGCTGCTGCTGCCGGTCGCCCACGGCGGTGGTGGCGCCCGCGGGCGCGGCTGCGCCTTTGGCGTACTGCTTGGCTGCGGCGATCCTTGCCAGCATGGCAGCTTTATCCCCGCCGCCGGCGCCGCCGGGCGCTTGGCCGCCGGCGTCGGTGGAGTTGCGGCAGACCCACGAGGGTGGGGCCGGCCATTGGGCGCCAGGGGCCCGCGGGGCCCCCGTGCGTTGGAGGGAAGCGCGAGGCCCCCTCGTCACACGAGACGCTGCGCAACGCTCCGTCGCTGCCGCTTCGGCGGCGCGAGGCCTCATCATCGTCACTGACGCAGACTATTGAAGCTCAGCAGAGCTTTCAGGCCACGTCTTGTGGAGTCGCGGGTTGCAAGCGTCGCTAAGATCGCTCGCTCCCTGCCTCAAGGGGTTGCAGAGTAAGCTGCAAGCAAGCCAGATGCATTCAACGTCAATCCTATGTCACTTTGCGCCTGTACAGCGGCTTGCGCAAGTCGCATTCAGTGGCATGTGCGGCTGCGAGAGCAGCAGCTGCTGGTGGCACTTGTCGGCCGGGTGAGCACCGGCGTCGCATCACCCTTGTGCTGGCAGCCGCTTGTTCCAGAGAATGCAACTTGGAAAACTTGATGAGCATGCGCTTGGCATCTCATGCATCCCAGGTGTGGCGACTGGCGCCCATCTGCATGCAGCGGCGCGTTCAGTTGGAGCGCATTGCCCCCTCGCCCAGTGTCTTCGCGTTGACGTGTGTGTTGTTACAAAGTCTGTCGTGTTTTACAACGCAGCACAGGCTGCGACCCTCCCAACCGCCAGAGCTGAGGCGCGTCCCGACGCGCCGATAGCGTCGGCCTCCCCAACCCCAGCCCGCGCCGCCTCTGGGGCCCCCGCCGCCGCCTCGTCGCCGCCGCCCCCGCCTGGGCGGCCCCGCCGCCCCGCCCGCCACGCCAGCCAGCCCGGGCAGCGATCCTCCAGCGCCGCATCACTGAGCATCATCAGCCGCCGCCAGGGCGCGTCTCGCAGCGCCCCGGGCCCGCCTCCACCGCCACCTGCTGCCGCCGCCGCCGCTGCTGCAGAGTAGTGGCGCCCCAGAAACGGTAACCGCTCGAGCCGCTCGCCGCTCATGCACAGCAGCACGCTCAGCGTCGAGGATGACCCGGCCAACAGCTGCTCCCGCCACGCGGGCGGGCAGGCGTCAAGGTGCGACATCAGCAGCGCCCGCTTGCGCTCGAGCGTGCCTGTGCTCAGCGTCAGCAGCGACGGGTTGCCCCGCACCAGCGCCGCCGCCTCCGCCGCGCCGCCGCCGAGCCCCATCGCGCCGCCGAGCGCCGCCGCCTTCGCCGCCGCGCTGCGCGGCGCGAGCGTCAGCAGCGCCGGCTGCGAGCGGACGAGCCGCAGCAGCTCGGCGCGCGGTGCGCCCAGGCAGGCGCCGAGCTGGCAGACGCGGCGCTCTAGCCCCGCCGCGTCGAGGGCCAGCAGCAGCGGCTGGCGCCGCAGCACCTTGGCCAGGCGCGGCGAGGCCGGCTCCAAGGCCAGGAGGCGCGCGAGGGACGCGTGCTTCGCAGCCAGCGTCTCTGGGAGGTATGCTAGCAGCGCCGGCGCGCGCCGCAGGAC